ACTGTAAGCGAGTTCGGTTTATCCTCCGCGAGCTGAAACATGACACTGTTGGCAGTAGTCCATATGATCTTCGATTTGAAGTTTCAAAGCTTATCACGTGGTCCTGTCATCTGTTTGCTCGCTGAGGATTAACCGAACTCCACTTGTGAATTGTGATTCAGTTCAGAATGAATCGAATCGAGCATTCAGGTAGTCGAGTTTGAGAGTTCGAGTTCGGGGATTTACCGAAAAATAAATATGATTATTGATGGAATTGGCAACTGACAAATGATACCACGTTGAACCAAAAAAGTTCGAACCCGATTCCTGAGGCGTTTTCTCGCGTCTCAAATGTTTCAAAACTGGTTTAAGTAATGTCATCATGACGTCATCATTTCTCGGCGCGAGAAAATGGTTTGAAAACGTGGATTGGATTGTATTTCGAAACGGTTTGAACCAATTTTGACGTGACGTCATGGGTTTATCCCGTAAATGTACTGTTTCAAAATAGTTTTGAACCAGTTTCAAAAAAGTGGACGCAAGAAAACGCCTCAGGTTAGTTCTAGAATCTAGCAGGCGGTACAAATGAAAACTCCAACGAATGACTTGTAATTATTTGATTTGTTGCAACAAAATTCAAATTTAATCTATTTACTGAAGATTTGCATTATTACGTTTTGTCAGTATTATGTGCATTTGTGGGAATTTATTCTCAAAAAGGAAATTTTTGGACTCCCTTGTGGGAAATTTGATTTTCGAAAGTTGGCAACACTGGTAAGGGGTAACTTGATGACACATCTGATCTAGGATACCTTATAGAGATTTGCATTATATTGAGGCACCCCAGATGACGTCATAAAGTTACCAGGCATCCTACCTCTCTCGCCTCTATCAAACCACCTTGCAATAAATAACATATCTGGCAAGTAAACAAAATGGCGCGGATTCTCGCGCCGGCCGCATTGGGCCATTCGCACTCTTTGAAAACAAAAAACTTCCTCCGTGCAAACGTCAAACATTGTTCATTAGATTTTCGGAAACATTCATCCTCGCTTACTCGATTTCAGGCCTATCTACTTCAGGCATTATCTACTCTTAAAATTTCTAAAGAAACCTAAATGCATGTTGATTTTTAAAGGTAGGGCATCATCATTTAAAATGCCCCCAATGCCCCCCCCCCTGGCTACGGCCCTGCATTAAAAAAGAATAAATATCTCCAAAACCGTTGAGAATGGTATAGAGGTAAATGATGTGTAATCGGTAGCAAATGGGCTCTACTTTCACCTCCTCAAAGGAATACGTCTACTTACCAGTCACCCTGTATATTTGTTTCTGAATTGTTCCAACAATATTAGCATTATGAAAGAATCTGCATCTGAACTTATGAATGATGCAGTGGTGTAACAATGTCAGTTTTCCATAATTTTAAAAAAGTGCCTTCAAGAATCTATCATAGCTTCAAAAAAAGCAAGCATTTGAATTTCGAAATTCTCAGTTTTTTTCCTATTTTTGATCTTCTTTTTTACTGTTCCAAAACTGTAGAATCTTTGACTTACTTTGAAAGTCTAGTGGGGCACTTTTCAACTTATTCTGAACTTATTATCAAAACTAGTGTTTCTCAATTTGCAAAACTCACGATTTTCCTTGCCCTTTGGAAAAATTTAAATTTCTAATATTTCCTTGAATATTTCCGTTACTAATGATGCAATTAGGGTTTTTACTTGTTCTCACTTTCTATAAATCATCGGAGGGCAGAATTTAACAACCAAAATTTTATTTTATTGATATATTTTATAACTTATAACCCTCGGCGCCAAGGCCAGTTCAAATTTTGGCGCCTACTACTAATTCTACCACTGTATAAAGATACAGGATGATCAATATTTTATCATCTCTAGTTTTTAACGTAGAAAATCTTTTACAGGAGCCGGTAATAGAAAATAATTTTAGCAACTGTAATTTGACTCAACAAAAATAAGCCAGTGTATAAAGTGATCAATATTTTATTATTCCCGGCTCTTGTAGGAAATCTTTCACGAAAGCTGGTGATCGAAAACAATTTCACCACTGTGTGGTCAATATTTTAGTATCCCCGGCTTTTAATGTAGAAAATCTTTCACGAGAACCGGTAATAGAAAACAATTTTACCCACTAATTCGACTAAACAAAAATAAGTCACTGTATAAAGATACAGAGTGATCAATATTTTATTATTTCCGGCACTTGAAGGAAATCTTTCACGAAAGCTAGTAATCGAAAACAATGAATTAAAAAAAAATCGTGAGAATCGAGAAAGAAAAAAAAGCACAACAATGTTTTTTCATAGATTTTTGACAAAGTAGGTAAACATGATTTTACATCCATAAGAAATAAACATTTTATTATTAAATCTTGTTACCTTGTTTTTACCGTTTTTTAGCAGTTGTTTCTGAAAGCTGAACCTCGCTTTCACTATCCGCTATCCGTAGAATTGCTCATCTTAATAAGTCGTCGATTCTCGAGGCGGCAGCTGGTCTGCGAGTGACGTCACCACTATCAGCAACTGATAGTGGTGACGTCATCCGCAGACCTCGATAGATTGTTTGCGATTCAGGCTGTGCTTGTGAGTTGATTTTTTTGGGAATTTTAAATTTAGAAAAGGTGATTTCATGTTTATGAATCTGTTTTTTGGACTCGGATAATGCATTTTCTTTCAAGAGTTCAAGTCTACAGCTGACGTCACAGATAATGGGGTCTCGTGGACTTGGCAAACACTTTCAGCTCAATAAGCATTCCTATATTACGTTAAGTATTCAGGCGAGCATGTACCAGGAGCAGCGTAACATAACTAAATATTGTATAGTAGATTTTTATTTCGATTATTCTCGATTACATTATATTTGATTAGTGATTTGATTTACTACAGAGAGAATTCGTGAGAATTGCTACTTCATTCGTGAGATCGTGAAATTGTGACTAAAATCGTTTAATCTTACGAATAATCGTGAGATCTGACAACACTGACTGTGTAGAGATAAGGGGTGATATAGTATATTACATGCAGAGGTGGAACGTGTTTCATCATTGTCGAGAGATACTATGGTTGACCGAGGTGCGAAGCGCCGAGGTCAACCAATTCTCGAGACAATAATGTGAAAACTTTCCACCGAATTATGTATACTATTTTATTTTGAGCCATTATTTATTGAAAAAAATAAAGTAAAAATATGACAAAAATGGAATTTCGACTGACAGTCTGATACCAACATTGACATCTTGTGAAATTTCAACAATATAAACACATGTGACATCTACTACTAAATACAAACATTGCACCTGGATTTCTGTTTGGGTGTGAAAGAACAATTTATCAGGGCTGAAAGTGAGTTCTCCAGGCCGAAAGTGACAAGAGAACAGTCACTTTCGGCCTGCTTTAAAGTAAACAAAAGTAAAGTGTCATTTTCGACCTTTCAAACCAGTAAGGAATGTGAAAATAACATAGGTATATGGTTCAAAATAAAAAAAAATTATTTACAATCATACCTGTAATGTTGACTTTACTGACTTTTAAAAAGTTTGAAAATGTCACTTTTTTTTTGACTTTTACTTTTGGCCCACAGGTCGAAAGTAAATGAAATTTTTAAAATTTATTGTATTTTTGACTTTTACTTTCGGCTCACGGGTCGAAAGTTTACTTTCCTCCCGCGGGCCGAAAGTAAATGAAATTGTTAATTATTGTATTTTTTTATTTTTAATTAAAAAAAAAAAAAATTCAAAATTCGAATGATTGCAAATAAAATAGTATACATACCCCGGTGAAGTTTCTCGAGATTTTAGTTAGACCTCGGCTGTGCCCCGGTCTAACCAAAATCTCTCGACAGTAATGAAACACTTTCCACCTCGGTATGTAATATACTATTATTTTGAATCATATATGTAATTTTCACATCACATTCCTTACTAGTTTGAAGGTTCGGAAATGTCACTTTACTTTTGTTTACTTTAAAGCAGGCCGAAAGTGACTGTTCTTCTGTCACTTTCGGCCGGGACAACTCACTTTCGGCCCTGATAAATTGTTCTTTCACACCTAAACACAAATCCAGGTGCAATGTTTGTATTTAGAAGTATCTAGATGTCACATGTGTTTATATTGTTAAAATTTCATAAGATGTCAATGTCGGCGTCAGACTGTCAGTCGAAATTCCATTTTTGTTATATTTTTACCATATTTTTTTTCAATAATTAATGGTTCAAAATAAAATAGTATACATAGTTCGGTGGAAAGTTTTCACATAATTGTCTCAAGAATTGGTTGACCTCGGCGCTTCGCACCTCGGTCAACCATAGTATCTCTTGACCATAATGAAACACTTTCCGCCTCCGCATGTAATATACTATTACCTACAGTAATTTGACTCAACAAAAATAAGCCACTGTATAAAGATACAGAGTAATCAATATTTTATTATTTTCTGCTGTTGTAGGAAATCTTTCACGGAAGCTGGTGAAAACAATTCCACCACTATGTAGAGATAAGGAGTGATCAATATTTTATTATACCCGGCTTTTAATGTAGAAAATCTTTCACAAGAGCCGGTAATAGAAAACAATTTCGCCAACTGTAATTTGATTCAACAGAGTGATCAAAACATTTCTGAACCCTTTTCCAAAAACACTTTTTTTTTTACTTTGTAAAGAAAAGTCTGCGAGTTTTCCTTCTGCTATATGGATTGATTTAGTGTTGGAAATTTTACCACAACTTCAAAAGTATCAAGTATCAATTCAAAAACAATAATCAACGCGTCATCCGAGTAGGCGCCCTTGAGTTCCAGCGTTGCCATAGCGCACGATTATTCGCGAAACTATACGATGGCAAGCTCTCACAATTTAAAGTACTTATTGATTCTTAACGAATTTTACTTTATTTCATCTGGCAACACTGATCACCATTAATCACTTCGAACCCGATTATCATTGTTTTTGATTGCTTTCTGCTTGGTTTCGAATAAACTATAATTATTTTAAAAGACAACCTTACTTACCGAGTTAGTATTGTTATAGTTCGCCGCGGCGCTACTATAGGAAAGCGGCTGTTGGGATTGCGGCGGCGCGGCGGCCTGCGGCTGTTGGTTCTGCGCCGACGCGTACCTTTGGTACGGCTGGTAGGTGGCTCCGACAGCCGCACCCGGATGCTGGTGACCCGCACCCACGCTACTCCACTGGCCGCGGTAGCCGCCCGGCGTTTGGTGCTGGGTTGCCATGGGTGCACCTTGGAAAAAAAGAATCACTTTTATAATCTGTTCATAAAGTCTCTGGATTTTGGCCAATCAGCGTTCAAAATCTCAGATCACGCACTTGATTTGAGTCTGTAGACTTCATGAACGGGCTATAGTTTTGTGTAGGAAAGAAGGATTGAGAGTTAGACTCACCTAAGGCGCACCCTTTGATCGGTGCTCCACCGGCGCCCGCGAACTGGTGTTGCGTTGCCGCGGCTGACTGCTGGTGGTTGTGTTGGTGATGCGTGTTTTGTTGGTGGTAGTGCCGCGTTACTCCGGTAATTGCACCACTAGAGTTGTGATTCTGAAAATAACAATTCGAATGTTACTATGGATTGTTCTTCTATTTTGTCAACTTTTCTTATTTCATTGACAAAATTTTAATGAATTTGTAAATAAAGAAGGCTGCAACAAATTTTCAAGAGGAAACTTTCTTACAGAGTTGTGTACAATTAACAGCCGATAACGTAATGCGTGTTTTAATATACCTTTTACTCAATGAGAACTTTAGTTGTGGCAATTTCGGTGAATCACATACAGCACCATCCGCTTTGTGGAACTTACTTTAACCATTACGTACGGTTGTGTGTAAAATTTAACTTACATAGATGGAAGGCAGTTTGATATTTTACTTCAATTTTATTTGAAATTTAACTTCATCTGTTATTCGAGTAGGTAAGAATAAACAGAATTGAAAGAAAAGTTTGTGGCTTTTTGACATCCAAGAATGAAAAATCGAGAAGAAAATATATGGTAGCAACGTGGCAACATTTTAGAAATGTTTCTAATCTTCTTGTGTCTCAGCATCCGTTCACATTTCTAAACTCTTGATTTTTCCAGTTTTCTAGACAACCAAACTAGTATAGTAAAGGTGCCCTTTGCACCCGGATCTCCATTGAGAAAGTTACCATCACATCTAAAAAGTATGCCATAGTCGAGAGGCAAACAACCATCAGACACTTTTACTAGCCGCGATCAAGATGGATGGGGTTACGCACTTAATTTTTTCTCTTCAAATTGTGGGCGCAGCAATCAGTTTGCAACAAGACTAATCTTGTCTTAGATTAGTGAATTTCTATACACAACAGTCTCGCAGCGGTATCGCCTAACGGATCGCGCCAAATTCCATTGAAGAACACAAACGACAATGCAACAGAAGAGTAAAAGTGGAGCAAGATCAAATCCGAATCCGGTGGACCTGGGTGCGAAAGAGGAACAAGTGACTGTCGCTAATTTAAATACGATCCGCATCGTCGAGCAGACGAGCAGTGACCTTGGAAGGTCGACGCCCGTTAAGTAGGCGCTGCTCGGGTACTACTCCGACTACTTCTTTTAGATTGGAGAGGCACCGTACGGCGTACGACCGCGAGACGCTGGTGCGCATATTTTACTTTGGCTTTGCGAATACTTATGAGATAGAGGATTTGATTTTGTTCCAAGGATTTGAAGAAACAGAAAAATGCAAAATGGTTTAGTTGAGGAGGAAATTACCTGGGAAGTTTTTGCATACAGCCAAGGAAGTGAAGGAGGTTTTATGGAAGTTTGTCCCTATTAATAGTACACGGAAATTCAAGAGGAAGTTTAAATGAAGTACAGGAAATTTTGATTAAATAATGAATAATGGGTTTCTGTAAGCAATAGTACTTTTCACTCATTACTTCAAAATTTCCCTCATTTTCAGGTCAGAATTTGCACTTATCAGTTCAAAAATCCATTCATTTCAAGATCAGAGCAACTTATTAAAGACTGAAATCTCTAATTAAGCAAATATTGAGGATTAGAAAAATCTACATGCGTTCCATCTAGAAATTGACTGATTTCTTTAAGATTCTCCATGATTTCCCCAAGATTTCCCCCGAGATCCTCAAGATTTCCTTATATTTATCCCAATTATCTTAGACTTCCTTGAATTTCTTCTTAATTTTTCCTGATTTGTACACCAGATGGGGTAAACCGCAGGTCAGTTTTTGAACACTGAATTGTGGTTTTAGGGGAAAATAATGAATGATTACCCATGGTTTCCTTTGATTTCTTCTGATTACTAGCAAACAAAATATTGCCCAAGAGTTCCCATGATAACATAGAACATAGCCCTAGCTTCGAGGAATCAACCACTTCCCGAAATACGTGTACACTTGGTCCGAATTACCTCCGAAATACTTCGAAGTACCTAGAAATACCTTGAAGTACCTCGAAATATTAGGTATTCCCGTCGAAGTAGGTACGCGAAATTCCATGAAATTACTGTCGAAGTACGCGAAATACCCTCAAATTCTCGCAATACTTTCTCGTTGATGACGAGTCTTCTTGTGGATTGCGGTGAAGAATTTTTGTTCAGATTTTTGTGTCTTTTGATATCATGGATTTTATTCGGACACACAGGATAGACAATTAAATCAATAGTTAGTGATGATGGGGTGGGACTCTGTAACGAATAGAGATATTTCTCTATCTCTATTGACGTCCCCTCTCTAGTGATTTCGAAAAAAGAGAAGACAAGTAGTGCCATAGCGATAAAGTTGATAGGGATAACCCTCTGAGGGGATAACGATCTATATCCGTTACAGAGTCCCAGCGCTGGTGACTGTTAGTTCCACCAAGGCTGTTAGATACTATTAACTAACTGATATTGAATACTTATACATGTCAGGTAGATATACAAATACAAGGTGTACCATTTAAAACGAAACAGGCTAAATATCTGAAGCCACGTTTATTTTTTAAAAAATCACTGGTACACGTGATTTGATTTTTGAAGGGGCAAGTTTTCTGCAACCATATTTAGCACTTCAACTTTAACTCTCTAGGCGGGGTGGGACAAACCCTTACTATTTCAAATGGAACAAGGGGTAGAGTGATACCTCTTTTAAAAGAGCGTTCAATTCTCTTTCATTTGATGTTATTTGAAAGAAAATTGAACGCTCTTTTGAAACAGGTATCACTCGACCCCTGTTCCCTGAAAATGTTTCAAACACTCACACAATTAAATTACGTGTAGGAGCGATTAAAAAAAGGAGAGAAGTGACATCAGATGTTTAGCCTGTTTCGTTTTAAATGTACAGTGGCGACGCGTGATTTGCAGTCTGGGAGGGGGGGTAATGGGAAGATGCGATCTCCCGGTAACGCGCCGCAGGCGAAATTTTCTGCAAATTTCAAGGTCATTTACTTTTCCAGAACAATTATTTCCTTTGTGAGGAAAATAAAACAAAAAAAAAATTATTTTCTTCAATATTATTATGTATTTTCTTTTAAGCATCGTGATTTTTCCCTCGATTATTGAATCCTGAGGGGGGGGGTAATTACCCCCATTACCCCCCAGACGCGACGCCCCTGAATCTGTATGTTTCCATTTGTTTCAATTACTATGCAGTTAATCCAAATTATGTCATATGTCAATATATAGGGCGGACCAAAACTTTTCAAACAATGATGAAAAAAACTAGAAAAGTGTTTTTTTACGAAAGTACACAGATAGGGATTTTATTTTCTGAAATTTGACTCTGCTGCTACTACTACAAACTCACTTTCCAGGTTCGGTAATCGTTGAAGCCCTGAACCAGGTCACTCCGCCTATCGAAGGGCCACAAAGCCCTAACGGCAGGAGCAAAAGGCTGGCTGGGAAAATCTTCACAATGAACAAAATAAAATGGGCGATCGATAGCTTCAGACCCTACAAATCTCCAGGCAAAGACGGGATTTTTCCCGCACAACTGCAAAAAGGCTACGAGCACTTAAAGGTACACCTACAAAAGCTCTTTAAGGCAAGCCTGCTCCTAGGGCACATACCGCTATCTTGGAGGGAAGCTAATGTGATATTCATACCAAAAACGGGTCGCCGACCCGAGGACGAACCAAAATCATATCGCCCCATTAGTCTAACCTCCTTTCTCCTTAAGACAATGGAGAAAGCAATCGACCAGTACATCAGAAGCGAAACTCTATTGAGAAGACCGCTCTACTCGAAGCAATTTGCCTATCAGCCAGGCAAATCCACGATAAGTGCTTTACACTGCCTGGTTAAAGACATTGAAAAGACAATCGAGTGCAAAGAGATCGCTCTCACAGCTTTCATCGACATAGAGGGTGCCTTTGACAACACCTCACATCAATCAATCGCCAGAGCATTACAAGAATGGGATGTTGAAGTTCCAATTGTAAAATGGATAGAGTCGATACTGAAGCACCGTCACGTTACGGCTGAAATAAACGGAGCATCAGCTACCGCTACCACGGTCAGAGGGTGTCCTCAAGGGGGTGTTCTTTCTCCGCTACTATGGACACTGGTGGTAGACAAAATTCTTACCAGACTGGGTAGTGCTGGATACCAGGTCATAGGTTACGCAGATGACCTAGCCATCGTAATCAAGGGCAAACATGAAGGTATAGTGACAAGCCGAATGCAAAGTGCCCTAAACATCGTTAAAAATTGGAGCGAAGGCGAAGGACTATCCCTAAACGCAAACAAAACAATCCTTGTCCCGTTCACAAGAAGAAGGAAGCTAAATTTGAAAGCCCCGACCCTTAACGGTACACAACTAACATTTTCCAACGAAGTGAAGTACTTAGGGGTCACCCTGGACCAAACCCTCACTTGGAACAAACAGTTAGAGAAAACATGCTCTCGAACTACATCAGCCATTTGGTCATGCCGAAGACTTGTTGGCAAAACATGGGGGCTAAAGCCAAAGATGGTATTCTGGACCTACCAAACCATAATAAAGCCTATGGTCACATACGCCTCATTGGTGTGGTGGCCCAAAACCCAACAAGTCACCGCTCAGATTAAGCTAAGAAAGGTGCAAAGGCTGATATGTCTAGGAATAACGGGAGCAATGTCAACTTGCCCCACCGCAGCCCTAGAGACGCTACTCAACATGCCCCCACTTCACCTATGTGTGAAAAAGGAGGCAATAACCAGCGCTCACAGCCTATTCCAAATAGACAAGTTCAAGCCTGGCGATCTGAGGGGACATCTGAAAATCGTTGATCTAATAACACTGGAGAATGCCAGCAAACCAAGTGACCACATGATGGTCAGATTGGACTTAGAGATCCCCTTCGCAGTGGTAATAAACGACCGCCAATCATGGGAGAATAAAGAACTACCACAAGCGGACAATGCATCTCTGTGGTACACAGATGGATCCAAGCTAATGGTAGGAGCTGGACTGGGCATTTCCGGCCCTAACTTCAAGCTCTCCAAGGCATTGGGTAAACATATTACAATATTTCAAGCCGACCTGCTTGCCATAGATATATGTGCACAAGAGTGTCTTGACCAAAGCCTCAAAAGAAAACACATCTTCATACTATCGGACAGCCAAGCTGCCTTAAAAGCC